TGCTTTTTCATCACTTCAAGAGCAGTTCGCAGGTAATCACGAAAGAATAAAGAGAAATCGTAGGTAGATATGGGATCGCAGCATGAAAGGGTGTACTAAATCAATGAGATTAGTTTAGGTTGGATTAGCAATAAGGTCCGTTTGATTAGGAATTATGGTTCAGGAAATTGCTTTTGGTTTCATCAATTAGTGTTCCTGTTTTCAGAGTTTCTGCTTCATAACGCAGACTAGTGTACTGATGATCACTTCTTGCTTTCCAGTGCTGAGAAAGAAAGAATCTCAGTTTTACTTGTACTACTTGTCATGGCAAATTAAGAATCCCATTGTTGTTTGCTGAAATATTGAATTCTACCCTTCTCTAATTAGACCTCTCTGTCTATAACCCTGGTCTGATAACCAAAATCTCATGTGGTGGAGAGAGTCCATGGCAATCGACGGAGAAGAAGAAGAAAAAGGGCGCGCTTTGCTCGAGCAGAGTTTATGTTTTTGGCGCAAACTATTTAAGCACCTTGTGCAATATCTTGTTTTTGGAAGCACACGTGAGAACTTAGAAACTGAAGTTGTGTTTCTCTCATGAAAAAAAAGAAGAAGCGAGAATCCAATAATACTCATGCTACCTCGTCTTGAAATTGGTAATGTAGCAGGACAAAAACGACATTAACTAGTTAGCCTTATTCACGAATTGATTGACCCCACAGTCTGTTGTCTATTTGAAACTATGGATAAATTGCCAATTATTCCTTATACAAAAACTTTTAAAGAGCCTATTTGGATGGAAAAATCCCCCCCTGTACGGTCGAAATATATGAAATATCTGTCAAGGCTTTTATTTTCTCTTTTTCGTGGCAGTCAGTCCACTTCAAAGCCCCTAAGCGTAATATAGCCTCTTATCAAGGGTAGCACTGTAAACCACTACACCTATTATTGCTGATTGTGTCGCCGATTTCGACGTGACCAAATTTAGATGTCAATAAAACAAGACGGCGACGGCGCCAAAGTATCAATCACCTGCAAGCGACCATTTCCAGTTGTCCGGTGAATCCCTGCTGCAAGCCACTGTACACCGTACACCTCAATCATGGAAAATCAATATAAGCAAATGTTTGGAAAACAAAATAAAACAGTCTATAATCACCGTACAGGGAAAAAACCTGCGCGCGAATCACGTTCCTGACCTAACCGATCTACCCGCCTTTTCTACCGTAATTCATTTGGCGGTAAAACAATGAATTGACAATAATATCCTCATACAAAACGACAATCCCCGTATCTCTTTATCCATTACGACACAAATCCCTCCTTGGTCAACTAGTCAATGGTCTCCACCATTTTAAAGTTACAAAAGTACCCCTCCAGTTTCTCTCTTTATCGCCCCACGACCGTCCTATCTGTCTCTTGTTGCCCAGCCTACTCCTGTGTGTGGCTTCAGTTTTTCAGTTCCAACTTGGAAAAAAGCATTTTCGAAAATATTTTTTTTCTTTCTCAATTTCTCGGATTTCGGATTCGGATCGAAAATTGGAACCTATAGCTCCGGTTCTATGATTTGAGAGACCCGATCCGTGGAATTCGGGCATGGAGCGGATCGTCGGCGGCAAGTACAAGCTCGGCCGCAAGATCGGCAGCGGATCGTTCGGTGAAATCTTCCTAGGTGAGTTTGTGGTTTAATCGGAACCGTTGATCATACAAACAGCGACTGATCTCTGTAATTGTTAAATTCATTTTGCAGCTACTCACACCGAGACGTTCGAGATCGTCGCCGTTAAGATTGTAAGCTCCTACTTATCTCTCTCTCTGTTTTTTCTTTCTTATTTTTGAATTTTTCAGTTTTATTAAGTATATATTACTGTTTAAATATGCATATGCAAATCCATTGTTAGAAATTTGAAGTTTTCTTTCGGATTCTCTTCAAGCTTCGTGAACTCCTACTTACCAAAGAAGCATATTTTTAGTTTAATTACTAGTGAAATGAACTAATTAGTCTGATTTTAATTTGTGGTGAGTGCAGGAGAACAGTAAAACAAAGCATCCCCAACTGCTTTACGAAGCCAAGTTATACAATATCCTTCAAGGAGGAAGTATGTGCTTCATTCATATATATTTGAATTATGTATAATTTTATGTCATTATTGGGTTAATCGTGTTGTATTAATTTAACTAGGTGGAATTCCGAACATAAAATGGTCCGGCATAGACGGCGAGGACAATGTGCTAGTTCTCGATTTGCTGGGACCAAGTCTTGAGGATTTGTTTGTGTATTGTGGGAGAAAGTTTTCACTCAAGACTGTCTTAATGTTGGCCGATCAAATGGTAACCATTATGGAGCTTACGGAGTGGAGCTCATGCATGCGCATATAGTTAGTTTGTTTTTCTACCTTTTCATTTTCAGAACATTTCAACTTTCTTTTTTTGAAGGGCAAATGATTTTCATTCTTATAGTTTATCATCTTCATGTCATTGGATGTTGCACTTTTTATGTGTACTATCGTGTCAATTGACTAATTATTTATTTCGTTTGATCTTGTTATTCAAGATTACGAGGATAGAGTTTGTGCACTCGAAGGGTTTTCTGCATAGAGACATAAAACCTGATAACTTCCTCATGGGTCTTAGTCGAAAAGCAAATCAGGTGCTGCATCTTCTTTCCCTTTTTCCTTTAAGAACGTATTTCAACTTTAATTTCTTGGTTTTACGTCGTCATCAGTCTCCTTCTTGCATTTGTCTTGTCAGGTTTACATAATTGATTTTGGTCTTGCAAAAAGATATCGAGACTCCACAACCAATCGTCACATCCCTTACAGGTATTTCCAGTTCATGGCAATCTCATTTTCCCCCTCTCTGCTGAAAAGCTTAAGGAACAATTGAGATATTAAAATTCAACCTTTTAATTTTGTATTGATTTATATTCTTCCTGTTAACCCTTACCGCATACAGGGAGAATAAAAACTTAACAGGAACTGCACGTTATGCAAGCTGCAATACTCATCTTGGAATTGGTAAGCTGCATGATGTTAAACCTTATTAGTTCGGTGGAATAAATACTCATTAACCTTATTGGTGTCTTGTTCTTAGAGCAAAGCCGGCGTGATGATTTGGAGTCTCTTGGATATGTTCTTCTGTATTTTCTCAGAGGAAGGTACATAATCTGTTTCCAACCCTTTTTGATAATAAATGATTCATGCCATCTTCTGTCTTTTCCCCTAATGATTACTTTTCTGTTTATAGCCTTCCGTGGCAGGGTTTAAAAGCTGCCACAAAAAAGCAAAAGTATGACAAAATTTGTGAGAAGAAGTTATCAACCCCCATTGAGGTGTGTGCCAACTACTCATGTGCATTTTGAAAGTTCTATATGGTGTCAGCTGGTCTGACTGCTGTTTTCCATAGGTTCTATGCAAATCTCATCCGGTGGAGTTTGCGTCATATTTCCATTACTGCCACTCACAGACATTTGATCAGCGGCCTGATTATGGATTCTTAAAGCGACTATTCCGTGATTTGTTTACTCGTGAAGGTAGTGCTGTTCAAACTCAATGTATTTTTCCATCTATTTTAAAGTTTTTTACATTGCATAGCCCCTCTTAGCTTTAAGTCAGTATGATTTCATATGTTGTATGATCTCCCGTTTAACTGAAAGTCCAATATGAAAAAGAATGCCATATGAATTGTATGTATTTCATATGCTTAACTGAACATTTTAGAGCTATATTTTGATATGAATTTTATATTCTGTGGATGTTTTTTTCCCCAAATGGCAGGATATGAATTTGATTACATATTTGATTGGACCATTATAAAGTACCAGCAGTCACAAAACAATAGAACTCAGTCTCAGTTATCCGTAAGTTTCATTGCTGTTCGGTCTTTTTAAATATTTTTAGTTGTAAAGTATTTCAGGATTGGGCTACCGCTGCACTTCTAATTTGAAAATCCACATGTTACAGCCAGTTCCTGGACGAAGCAACAGTCATGCGATGCCAGTGCGTGTAGATAATCATCAAGGTTAGATATTGCTGATGGTTTTTTGCATATCTCATATAACTAACTTCTCTGATTTGAGTTTGACAGCGGGCCCTATTTTTGTCACATTTTATTATTAGCGTTCAACTTTATTTGTTGTCATGTAGGTCTAGTTACACTTTATGAGAGATAGGGAGTTGATGTATTAACAAATATCAGTTGATTTACAGAAATCACATTTTTCTTTGTAATTATAAGTGGCAGGAGGTGCTAGTGCTTCTTATCCAGCTGAGGTCACAGATCGAATTAGATCAAACAATGCCACTGGTCCTGGTGTTCGGATGCAATTTAAACCATCAACAGGCAGGAATTTGAATTATGATAATCCCCTTGAAAAGAATGTAAGTCATATTACTGTTGAACAAGTGAATAATTAATATTCCTTCCTTGGACTCTTTTTAGATTTTCATTACCCTTGGATAAAAATTCCTTTTATAGATTGCAAATGAAGCATACCTGCCATCTACTTCATTTTCCGGCACCTCAAGAAGGAATTCCACAAAACCTATTTTGCCCACTGAAGCTGCAAACACTGGTCATGGACATGGCAGTAAAGTAGGTCCTTCAAGTAGTTGGATTCAGTCACTGCAGCGCATCTCTTCAGCCAAGTGACCTATATGGTAATTCATTGGATCCATACTTGAGTCATTATTTGGGTGGCTGCTTTCTTAATTGCAGCAAATACTATTCGCCTGACATATTAGCATCATTGTTGACTGGGTGCGGTCCACTGTGTTTTAACAACAGATTTGCTCCAGAAGATTCTAGCACATCTTTGAAGCTCTGCAGATGTATGGTGATTTAATGGTCAAATTTGCAATCTATTCATGAAGATCTTGGTGACGCGTCTTTGGAGACATTGAGTTAGTTCCTTCGTTGGTGCAAGCTTGTTATGTTTTTTTTCCTTAATGTGACTAAAAATGTGTTGGTTACGAAATACAGAATACCCAAAGCTTGGATTCTGTGCTGTACATAGATCTCATAAGTGTCCCAGCAATCTTGTATTTAAGTTTTTCTTGTAACATGAATGATGTGTATACTATTTTTTTCCCCGTTCTTGTTATTAGATAATAAGTTGTCTCGCAGCAGTTTGATTGTTGTTGACAGTGTTTCTCTATTTTAATATTCCTAAAAGTGGCTGTTGTGACATTAAATATATATATTTTGAATGAAGAAGCATCATGGCCTGATTGGCTTTGAGAAAACTGTTTTTCTGTTGTGTCAAAAAGTCAGAATGGACAAGTGGTCAGAGGTCATGTTTGGAAAAGCGTCTATCTTTAGTTTTGAACTTATTATAAACTGTTGAAAACTAAGATAAAGGAACTGAAAATTTGTTTCTGACACTTCCACATGTTTTCAGCTGCCTTTTAAAAACTTATCTGAGAAGTTGAAAAACACAGGAAACAGGTGAGAGGCACTTATGATATACTAAGGTGCTATTGGCAGTTATGAAGGCTACTTTACCAAATTACTCCAATACCTATTCCTCTCCCAGATGTCTATAATCTGGTATGCATCTCTCTCTCTCTCTCTCTCTCTCTCATAAAGGTTTCTATCTTAATTGTTCATTTCACCCACTATGCATTTTAATTGAACATATTTGATCTAACATCTGAGGAACAAGTCCTTATTTAATTGATGTCATTAGAAAATATGTATATATTTGCATTATTGGTTCTTTCTTGGCCAAAGGAAATCTCATGAACTCATTTCCCTTGGAAATCACTCAGGAGTGGCTCTGGTAGCTTACTGTTACTACATTCCATGTAGCATGCGCTTAAGGGGATCAAGGCCGGTGTTCTCGCTCCTGAACTTTGAGGTACTGTCGTGGACTCGTGGCCATCCAGGAGCCGAAACCCTGGGGACATTACTAACTTATAGATGTTCTTTGACTGTCCAGCATACCCAAGATTTTGGTTTTAGTAAACATCTTTGATCCATGCCATCTATACCAACGCCGTCTAATTGTTATTTGTTATCTGCCAGGAGAATCCATTGATCAAGGAGATTACATATATGCTGATGGTGGTGCCATGCCCGTGCAGTTGCTTAAATATCTCATCTCATCCATCATATATATATATAGATATCTCCTACAGCTTTTAAATTGAGGAACATTCGACATATGCAATGCAATGTAGTTCAGTCGTTTGTGATGGGTCTTCTGGTAATGTATTAGTGTTGTCCCAGATTGTTTTGTTTCGCCTCTCTTATTGCTAGCTGTATAATCAAACCTTTTTTTTTCCTTTCAATATCAATAAGGAAAGAAAAGGAAAAAAAAAATTCGTTATCAAACTCTTAATATTTTATTATTATTTTGCTAGTAGTTATGCCGAAGTCAGTTGTGAAAAAGCACTCATACTCATGCCGAAAGTATTATCACAAAACGACGACGTTGGGGCAGCTTGTGTAGGGCATCAATTTCTTGAAATGTTGATTGCAAGTCGGAGACCGCCTTGAACGCAACTGTGAGGTTGTCACTAGAATAGAATGGGTCTGGAGGATGATTTCGGGTCGGTTGTGGATGCTCCAGCTCTTTGCTGATGGAGAAGCTGTTTCAGTAGTCGGGGGGTGAAAACGACATTGTCTATTTAGTCAGCAACCACAATAAGACAAACAGAGAAGAGTAAAAGTTGAGAAATCTTGAAAAAAGATGTGGTTAATTTAATCCACAAGAGAGCAACTAAATTCTAGAATCTAAAAGAAATGATCACAACTATGATCAGTTTCAGTGCACTCAAGACTGAAGAATAATGACTCTTTCAAATCCTTGATAACCCTTACAACTGCTGCAAGCAGAACCCCAGCTTCTGATTCTGAACTGTCAACCCCAACCATCTGAGCCAGTAGCTCAAGCTTCTTTCTCACCCCTTCATCATTGAATAAATCATCAGCACACTGCTCTTCCTCTTCCTCCAGCGCATCGTCTTCGTCTTCGGCATCAGACATGATGTCAGGGTCTACAGTCAATGACTGCATGAGAGTGTTGCTTCCAAAGTGAAACATGGGGATGGATAAAAGAAGAGATTTGTTTTTATAAACAAATCATCAAGTCATTTTGGTACTTTCTTAGAAAGCAAGCCACAGTATTATCTCAAAACGTTACAACACGAGGTCAAAGAAAGACAGTGACTAAACTAGTAGGCGATGAAAAGAAACGGTTAATGGAATAATTATGATAAATGGGAAATAAATACGAGCAAATACCCACTGCCATAGCATTTATTCACCTAATATGGGTTACGTTTTCTTTACAGTTCATGCATAGGGATACCTTTTCTTCTGTATTTAAATGATACAAACATTACATCTTAAACTTCAGTATTAAGCAGTAAAAACCTTGTTTTCCTTAATCATATTGGTTGCCGGTTGGAAGGCGGAGATCAATGCAGAATTGTATGTAGAGTAGGGAAATTAACTTACCCTTCAAAAATTTAGTAACCACTATTGAATTGCATCATAATATATATATGTACAGTATTAGATGCAACTACAAGATTGGGACAGGACGTATTCCATTCCTTTGCCTGTATGATTCTTACAACACTTGACAAAATTGACACATGGTGTCAAGGTTCCCATTGATTCTTTCCAATCTAAGAGACGCATATCTGTGGCTACATTGTCAAGGTTCCCACAAAAAGTGCACCTATGCAGCCAACATTGTCCGAGTTAAGCCTCCTTTTCGGATCAACACTCAACCCTGCTCCTCGTACTGCATTACTAGGCTGTCATTTGCGGAACACTAAAATTGGTCTATTGAATCCAGTTTTGCTGCCCGACACGCTGGAAGTGACATTCTCCACTGTTTTGAATCCAATCTGTAATCATATGTTAAATGTCAGGTATACCAGGATCTCAACCAAATATAGGGAAAATGCCCAAAAAAAATTAGGGAGTTTCACTAAAACACCCAAAATGGGGGTTGAAATTATAAAAAAACCCAAGCACTATTTAAACATATAAACACACCCAAAACCCATCATTACACACTTAAAACTCATTTATAAACACACCCAAAAAGTTGACTTTGGGGTTGATTTTGGGTGTGTTTCTATGTTTAAATAGTGCTTGGGTTTTTTTATAAATACATGTCTAGGATTGGGTTTATTTATAAATTTGTAAAAAAATTATTGCCACTTCATCCTGAATTTGAACTATAGGAAGATTGTAACATACCTTGTCCAGAAGTAAGTCTTGAAAATATTCCGGATGGAACTTAAGATTTTTATAATTGGTTCTGGTTGTCTGCACAATGGGACAAAATATTCTTTAGGCCTAATTTTAGTAAAGCAATGAAATTTCAAGTCATAAAGTACTTAATCGAAAAACTTTCTGACTTGTTAACTGATTTAGTAGTGATTAAATAGCTGTGAACTCAGAGCTGCAAAGAAAAAGGTTACCTCAGAAACTTTGTAATTATTTTCATATGACTTCCAAGGTTGAGGTTCCAACACAAAAATTCCACCCTGCTCACAAGAAGAAGAATTCCTCAAACTTTTTGCCCAAGACCATCTTGTAACAAGGGAATGCTATAAATGAAGATTATCTTGAACTAAAATTCCATGGTTAGTTGATAGCAGACAAGAAAAGAAGAACGGAATGGAAATGAATGGTAGAGCAACAGTTACAATAATTACCGGATGAAGTAGCCTCCAAACCTTTGTAAATAATGTAATCAATCCATCATCACCCCAATTCAAATGAATCCATTTTGTTACACTCAAACTGTATTTCAGGAGAGAAATAAAAATTACAAGCAAGCAACAAAGTAAGGCTAAGTAAAGTTGAACTAGCAAATGAGAGCTTGTAAATTGCATATGAAAAGGCAAGCATCATGGCGCAATTTTTCTCCCAAAATATATTAATAGAAACCCACTACAACTTCGATCTATAAGATAGGGGAAAGCAAGTCACTTTCACTAGAGTTCAATTATTACAGGCAGACTTTAAAAAAACCAGGGTAACGATAATGGCTTTTCCTAAATATTTGTACGGCCAGTGGGGATTCGACCAATTGTCTCACAATAGATTCTTGTTCTTAGCGTCTTACTATTCGGTGGTTATGGATAGACACACCTGGTTACAGCTTCTTAGACTTAAGAAAAGGAAAAAAAATCTGAAATTTCAAAACTCAATGATATTCCGATGACTTAGATAATTTGGAGTTGTTTGTCTCTGACAGTGATCTGATTAGCAATCTATACTTTATGTTGTTCTCGTTTGGTAATCTCGTTCAGTTACTGAAAAGTTCTAGTAAAAAAAATTCATGAGAAAGGTTACAGTCAAATTTAAGGAATATAAGTCAACTTTTAATCTTATATATATAGTTGAAAGCCTGCACACATCATAGCAAGTTTCCACATGCTTTTCCTAATAGGACTGAAACAAACATATTATATTAAATTAACCAAGAACAAGGATGAGCTTACCAAATAATGGTATCATAATGCTTCTTTGGTGGATCACGAGTATTAACAAAATCTTCTCTTTGGAAAGATACTATGTCAAGCAGATTTTTCTTCTCAGCACAACAATTCCTTGGGATCTCCTTCATCTCTTCCTTTGATGAACCTTTGATACTGTGCTCTGAACCATTTGCACCCTCCAACTTAGAAGCCTTTCCAGGCACCTTTCTAGCATCCTCCATTTTCAAAAATTTCCTGATGTGCCAGTATGCATCCTGAATTCGATCTGGAAGATAATGAAACCTACATTATCTATGACTACAAAAAAACACAAAAAGAAACCCCTGATGCCTAAAACGGTCACGACATCAACATTCTACCCGTTTACAGATTGGAGAACTAAAATCAATACTACTAATAGAGTTCATATTAACCCAATTAGCCTGAACTTAAGTAGCCAAATTGACTACGATTTGGGCTAATTAGATAAATATTAGTGTAAAAGCTGAGTCTGATCACACACACAGAGCGAAGGATGCCAAACTGCATCCCAACCCAATGAAGTTTTCATTCTTTTCAAATGGGCATCTGTTGTGGTCTTTATAAATTATAAGCTCAAACTATGCCATAATGCCAGATATCACATATAAAGAAACATCATCTGAACCATATCTTTCAAGTTCAAGTTCAATTTCAAGGTGTCAGGCACCCACATGACATGTTACTGCATAGTCCAACATAAATTTAGTACCTAGGGAATATTGCACTAGTAAGATAAGAATAACTTGTAGAGATATCTAAAATGAATAGCATGCATATACATATATGTGGATGTTCATGCGTGTGTGTGTGTGTGTTGGCATGCGATACTGTGCATGAGAGATAATATCATAATTCTACATCCTAAATCTCATGCCAACAAGAGCTTAGAAAACATTATACATTATATCAACAATTCGAACTATATTTAACAGAAAGAAGAAAGCTTTATATTTCGACTTCTGTGTAATTTCACAAACATATATAAGATCATTATTAGAATCTTACTGGCGTCGATGTCAACTCCAAGAATGCTCTGGCAGCAGAATTTTTTGGCTGTATAAGTACATAAACATGTTAATACCACTGTGAGAACCACATACATAAATAAAGTATCTCAACGACAACTACAAAAAGGCCTAACTAGACAAAACCAAGAAATTCACTACATGTACCCTGACTGGGACTATGGAATTATATAAGCATTGATTACTTTCATTTGTTTAGGAAAAGAAGAAGAGACAATAAAGCATAATCAGAAAACTTGTAAAATAAAATTTCAAATATGATTTTAACTGAGAAGTAAGTACCAATTTGAATGGTCATAATTCCAGAATTGCAGCCAATGTCGAGACAATCCTTGCCTTGGAACCATTCCTTCTTGAAAACCTTCAATCTAGGATCCTCCTCCAGTTCTTGACCAATCTAAAATATCATATGAAGGCAATCAGATTTCACATTGTTGTAGAGAGAGAGAGAGCATAAACTCAATCCAACGACCCAAAAGCTTAAAACATGCACGCATTTAAAATCCAGAACACAGCCCCAGTAACTTCAAATTAAATGCCCTGTTTCAATCAAACTTACAAAAGCACCTACTTGGGTGCCCGTAAATTCAATCAAACACTAACCCCACATAGCTACTTGAAAGAAAAAGAACACAAAAAAGGTCGCATTTTTAGTTATTGACTAGCCAAAGCTTTCTAGAAAACCAAGTAGAGCAATAAGAATATTCAAAAAGGAAAAAAGTGGCGGGTAGGGGATTAATTACTCGATAGCCGTAGTAGTGTTTGTAGTTTCCGTAAGGGCAAATCTCCTTGCGCTTCTTACTTTTGTTCTGTACATGTTGTTGTTCGCGTTCCTCTCCGCCCTTCTTCTCTTTCTGTTTGCTGCACATGGCGGAATCTTCTGGCATTTATTAGAAGAAGCTCTGCAAAAGTTCAGAGCTTTGGTTTGGTTGAACGAGAAAGAGGGAATGAACAGCTGAGCTGAGTTACTTTTCTACGATGGTTTAGGGTTTTAATATGAACAGCTTTAAAATGTTTGGGTTCAATTGCTATAAGATATATTAATATTTAAAGCGTATCGCCGCACGGCTGTACTTTTAACATATACTACTAGTCAACGTATAGCCGAGCGGCTGTACTTTTAAATATATTACTACAGTATAGCCATATGGCTATACTATTTCAATATGTTTGCATATTTTAAACGTATCGCCGCACGGCTGTACCTTTCAAATATATTAATATTAAAGAGTATAGCCGGACTATACTATTTTATTCGAATATTTTAAACGTATAGCCGCGCGGCTGTACTGTTCAAATATATCAATATTTAAAGAATATAGCCGGCCGGCTATACGAAAATTTTAAAAGTATAGCCGCTCGGCTATACGTTTAAAATATTCGATGATTACCATTCTGAGCAATTTTCATTTTTAATCAAATACTATTTCTAAAGTTTAATTGACGTATATCAAATATATGGTAAAGTCCCCATCAAACATCATCTTTCCCATTTTTCTTTTTTTTAAAATTTACAATGGGACACGTATACTGTCTTCACTAAGTGGTCTAACTCAAGTTCACAATATCATCTTCCCTTTGTATTGTACTATGATTTATATATTTTTAAATTTTTTTACGGAAAGGTTCTCTCACTCACCGATCTGAGAAATCTTCCAGTAAAACTAACATTGCATATGGCTACAGCAAGATGTTTTGAGAGGATATCTTCCCAAAGAAACAGATGAATGACCCATACAATAATTCAATATATAAAGTCAAACTAATTAAGAACAAATATTCAAAGCTAATCATCGTTCTATTGTCTTCCTTTTTCTTTTGATAATCACTGCAAAGCTAAACGTGTGATAAATATTAAATACTTGTTACAATGGTTATTCGAAGCTAATTATAATTTTATCTACAAAATGGGATGTAATACATTCTTTCAAGAGAACAGCTTCTTAGAATCGATTATCTTGGCCCGAAATTTCACTTTCAATATCACAAGCTTGGGTATCGTACGCACCTCTTATAACTCACTCCAATTCCTTGAGGAAATCAACATTGTCCACAAAAACCTGCAAAATGAAAAAAGGATGTATGAGACCTTGTAAATCACGAGGGAGGGGGGGTAACAACCCAGCAAACAATTTTGGCATGCCATAACTAAACTTCGGTCCATTTAAACATCATGCAAGTAGCAAACAGGTTCTCCACATAAATCCCATAAGCCTTGCAGCATTTTTTTAAAATTTTTACTTTATATGCACTTCAAGTACCCTACACAGATGGATATTTATGGATAATATTTAATGCATCTTGAGAGCTATATAAAAGGTCAATCAGATCATTCAACACAATTGGCATGAAGGCATGAACCATACCGACTTCCAACCGTCAGGGTCCAAGCAAGCAGTGATCTTTGTGTTGATACCAGGTAAGGGCCCAGGTTCCCGGGTAATCTTGCCCCCGCAGAGTTTAATTGCTTCAGCAGTTTTATAGACGTCATCTGTGCCTACAGCTATCTGTTGAGAAAAAAGAAACAACTCTACAAAATTAGTCAAGAAAAAAAGGTCGCACAAGAACAGAGATCATTTTTCATGCAGAGATTAACACAAAATATTATTTTCACAACAACATGCAAAACTGAAAGAAATCATGCACACTAGCGTAGGCAAAACTTTTTCCAACATATAGAGGGAACACAGTCAAAAGAAGAGGAAGGGGGAAATCCTGGTTTTACCTGAGCATAAGCATTTCCTTTGTCGTATTCGGTGACCCCATAATTGTATGTCAACTCCAGAACAGCATTTTTGTCTTCAGGGCCGTAACCCAGCATTGCTATAGTATACTAGAAGTACAGCAAGCACAAGATTTTGTCATTGAGGTATAGTGTACTAGAAGACAAAAGGTATAGGATTTTTGTGCTACTATTGTATACTAGAAGTAATGAGCACAAGGTTATGTCATTAAGGTAGACACTAAACCAGCTATTCCTACATGTAGCGACCATGGTGACATTATCAAAAGCTCAAATCTCTAAAACTATATGTTAGAAAAGATTATATTCTTCTCTCATCGTGCCTCAATCTAGAATCTCATGTTGATATCTCATCATATTTAAATCTATATTTGGATGAAATAGCAAAACAATTAACCAGGCATTCCAATCTGGATCCTGGTTCCAACAATTCTTTTACAATACTTCAGTGTAGAGAAAATAAAAGGCAATATATTGATCTGGAGAAAAATTGCAAAATTACCTTGTACTCAGGATTATCTCTTTTGCGAAGAAGCTCCATGCCAAAAGCCTAGGTCATGAAATGGGAATAAGGATTGAGAACTAAAAGTAAATGACTTCCAAAACATATTAGCAGTGCACAGGGTAAGAAAACAGCATATTGTGCCAAAACAACTCTCACCTTCTCGTAAAAAGTTATGGAACGATCAAGATCACCCACACGAAGCATAACTTGACATAAAGGCTCAGGGGTAGGCCCTCTTTCCAAAAGTTCAAACTTATAACCATCAGGATCTTCAACAAACGCGATTACTGTATTGCCACCTTTGACTGGACCAGGTTCTCGTGTTACCTTGCCACCCTTTGCTTTTATGAGTTCCACAGTCTTGGCAACCTAACCACAAGAACATATAAGTTAAATCATAGAAGGTGTCCATTAAGAACAGACAATCTAGAACAGTCTACAAAACTAGTAACCACATGATAAAACAAAATTGTCATAAAAGGAGTACTGCATGTTTAAAAAACAAAATATAACAGTAAAACAGTGACTTACATCGTCAACAGCAATACCAAAATGACCAAATGCAGTTCCAATATCATACTTGTCAACTCCATAATCTGGAAGTTCCATTAAATCAAAATGAACGTCAGTAGTATGAATTTACTTTGCATGACAAGTTCTTATGGAAGAAATTCACAGCAGGTCTTTAGTAAGTTCCAATGCTTTAGATTTTGGGAATATTTGATGAAAACTAGTTGGATGCCTTACTGTAAGTGAGTTCAATAACAAAGTGGGAATCCTCTGGCCCGTATCCGAGAAAAGCATTGGTGTATCTTTCCTCTGGTATGTCACGTTTCCGCAACAATTTCATTCCCAGGCACTCTGTGTAGAATCTGCATGCACAACAAATTTCTATGCTTGAATTCTACGTTTTTTCTCATTATCATCATGCAAATACACCATAATATATCAGAACAACAGGATGTTCCCATTTGCAGTGAACAAACATACTTTATGGTTCTGTCCAAATCCCCAACGCGGTAAACAACATGGAGCAGCCTCCGCTTGTCCTGTTTGACCCACTCTAGGACATTTTCCGGGGTAGCCGTTGTGCTTGCTTGCGCGGCATTCCCACCAGCAGCCACCCCTATGGTTTTACCATCTCCTCTCAACAGTTTAGAAGCTTTCAGACCGAAAGACTGTGACTGTGGCACAGCTGGTAGACAACTCAAAGTCATAAAGCAAGTCTAAAATTACAAAACCATCACATACTATAAATACAATCACATTGTCAATGCCGTAAACTGATGTAAATCACAAACATAATCCCCGTTCTAATTCAATTCAACTTATACATTGCTTCCACAAATTCAACCATGAATTCTTAACTAAGTACGAAAATTTCAAACTATTACTGAGATACAAGAATCAATTGTGCATGATTACAACCAAATTAACAGCCTCAAAATCTCAATTCAGCATAAAATCGATGAATTCAGCTAAAAAGCAAATAGATTTAGGGTTTAAGAGAAAAGGGTAGCAGCAAGGCAAAGGCTTTATTTACCACTAGCGAGGTGAAAGCAAGCGAGTCTCCGAGGAGTGAAGGAAGCGAGAGAAAGGCCCAAGCGAGAAGCCCCAGCGAACCTCAACGTAGATAGCGAGGGTCTGATTGAGGACGCCATGGGTATTATCCCCACCATCTCTATCTTCTCTCTCTGTCCTCTCTGTCTCTGTCTCTGAGGCTGTGAGTCACTGGCTCAACTGGCTCTGATATAAAATTTTCTTTTTTTCTTTTTCTGTTTTTTTGTTTTGGGAAGGGAATGAGAATGAGAATAAAGGGAGGAAGGAAAGGGCTCGTTCGTGCCTGCCTTTGCCTGGTGGAGTGAAGTGAGAGGAGAAGTATTTTTCTTTTCTTCTTTTTTTTTTCTCTTTTTTTGCAATTTACAATTTACAATTTTCTTATTCGATTGGATTTGGATTTGGATTTGGGGAGATCCAATCCAACAATGGTGGACGGACGACGTTTTGCGTTTTGCCTCCGTGGGCCCTTGTCTTTTTTTGGGTTGAAGTGGGCCCGAGTCTGAGCTTCTGTTTGTTTTCAAGTTGGGCCACTAAATAATAGCCTCATTGCTAAATTTATAGGGAAAACGCCACCGTTTTGGGAACTTGCAAGTGTGATTATATAAGAGTTTGGTTTTTAATCAAACTTTTAAAGTCTAAAATGAATAAATAAATAAAAATTCAAAAGGCGATAGAATTTTATTAGATCAATAGGAAAAAAGAATACAGAGAATTTTACTATCCCTAGTGACATGAGGCAACCGAAAGACTGAAACGATTTAGAGAGAATCACTCTTAAAAATAAATTTTCTCTAACCCCTTTCTACAACTATAGTTTCCTCGAATATAGTCCTATGATATCATGGGCAAAACTGGTTGCTAACCATCATGACTCTTCAAATAGATTAAGATTTAAGAACACTCAACAAACTCAAGTAAGTTTCTGGAATTACGAGAGAAAAAAACACAAAAAATTCATACAATTTCTAGACTTTATTGACCAAACAACGTTGACAAAAAGAAAGAACAAACGCCGCTAATCTTACTCTTAAATATCACATAGAGAGAACCATTTAGTCATTTCATAACCCCAATATACCAATCAACAATAAATCTATCATGACCAAACAACACCACCTCAAAGAGAATCCCCACAATATTTGCCAAGGGAATACCATATCATTATAGATTCGAGAAAAGTCTAAGAACATCTAGAATCCATGGGAAAACCCCCACGTTTACAAGTCTAAAGTGAATTAAAAGTTGCATTTTGAGTATTTGACTCCACTAGCTTTTTAAGCTTCAAATTCCTTACGTGGCATGCACTCCTACGTACAAATGTTTATGTCATGAAAAATGGTATAAGGACAAAAGCAATATGTGACGTGTACCGTAGTCGCAGAAAATGAAACTTTGAAAGTAGGAAGATGCTTAATATAGGCCAATTTTTTCATCTTTCACTTTATGTGGCATTTGACGTGTAGGTCGATCCCATTGAGTAATTGATGTATCTTTATATTACAATTTACATGCAATATTAGGGTGAGCTAATAATTGGAAGTTTGGTGTTTGGCGGTGGAGAAAAACTTAGTTGTAACAGGATAATAATAGTTTGTTATCTTCAACCAATAATGTTATATCATGTGAAAGTGTTATCACGCGTATTATAGCATTATTGACTGTGAATAACAAAATAGTGCTATTCATGAAAGCTTTTCTCTTTGCGGTTGTCATAAAGTTTAGGGTTGGGATTGTGGGGTGGGGGATGTCTAAAGCTGATGTCACTTGCGGATAACATCATATATAGTTACTCTATAAATGGAAATGGAGGACATTGAGTCATAAACCCAAACACCAGAAAATAAAAGTCTCCATAAATTTTAATTACTCAATCTTACTGAACAAAAAAAGAATTTGTTGATAAGAAGTTTATGGGGATAAATTCCTGACTCTTCTCTTAAACTTGCTTTATTTTATTCCACTTTATTCAACTTTTTCATAGCACAAATTCTTAACTTTTTTACCAAGTTAAGATATAATTTTACGCACACAAAAATTAAAAAAATAGAGATTTAGTGACATTTTTTGAGAGTCAAAGAAATATTTTGATCATTGGATTTCTCTCATTGAAATAATAATTATTATTATTATTATGACAATTACTAAAAGTTCCTTGTAAGCCTGCTCTGCTGATTCATCCATTTATTTCTAAAAGATTTATAAAAATAAACAAAATATCTTTCGGAGGCCACAGCTGCACATTACCCTTTTTATCTTGTGGGGTGTGGTGTTCCACCTCCATTTCCCCCCACGCACAAGAATTTGATCATTGCTCAACTCTCGAAAGTTAGTACTCAAAAGCAGAGGCGACGTTTGACATTTAACTTTTAAAATGTGTAATTTACAAGGTCACCACCAATAAAACATCCATATGGGTAAGGGGTTGTAGCTCTGCGGTTACGAGTATTTAGTTATGCATATGATGTTTTAGGTTTGATTTTTCCATCTTTCAATATATATTGTATACAAAATTAAAATAAAAAATAAAAAACTCACATGGTTGAATATTAAAATGGATCATAAAATGATAAAAAAACTTACACGTTGAAGTTAATGTAAATAACATAATTTGCAACTGAACCCACAATGTGATTAAAAGCACAATGTGCCATATGATTTAGAATCATTATTAGCATGAAATCTAGTGGACAAGATGCATTATTGGTACAAAATTGTTGCCTTGGTTGATAATGAATGAATTTCCATTTAGCCAAAAACAAAAACAAAAATACAAAAGAGGAAAGAACAAAAATTAAAAAAAGTTAATCAAGGTGCAAAGGCATGCCTCCTTTTTAAGTGAAGGACCACTAGGGAAAGTTTATTATGTGATTGTTGAGTGAAGTGGGTGGCTTTCTCATTCAATCAAGTATTGAAGATCAGTCATGCACACACACTTTGGAAAAAGCATACTTCAATTGAATTATTGCATGGGAAAAGAAAATAAAGTGTAACAAGGGGATGCATTTTGCGAAGTCGTTTTCATGTACCACTTATATAATTATATGATTATTTTAGGCTCACCTTGAATTCATTATCTTTTTAGTTTATATTTGTTTCTTTTTTGGGTAGAGAGGAGGGCTAAAGCCCAATATAAACACTAACTAATAACAATTTTGGATATAGAAACCCTACACAAATAATTGAAAATTAACTGATTGACAACAACATGAGATGTTCATATTTGTTTTTCCTTGATTTTCATGGTTTTATAAATACAAAGTAAAAAGTTAATCATGATTATGTATATGGACACGTGTTAAGTACTTAAGAATGGTGGTGATGATACATTTTGGATTAGAGTGGTAAGTAAAACTATTTCTAAGAAAAATAAATAAATTTTGAAAATTTGAGGAAAGGATTTAAAATTCTCAAATAGTCAATGCATTGGAGTTGACTTTTTCTCAAAGTACCTAAAATCTACCAAAATGAAGGTTTTGCAAATTTAAAGCAATGCTGGAATTTCTATAGATGAAAAGAACTAATTCCCAAAAAATGAATTTAGATCCAAAATTGCCATATTTGATATTTTTCCTATAAAGGCGAAAGTAGAGTACGACCCGTCACAGACTTGCAGCGCGTGGCGCGAGCAATGTCCACAAAAGCTGAGAGAGTACACATGCACAGACCAACACTGACACGAAGGCCTAATCCACAATATCACGTGCCCCCACCACACTCTGTCCCCACGCGCCTCCCCGATCCCAAAACTCATAACCGAAACCCAAAGCAAAGCACCTGCTCTCTCTCTCTCTCTCTCTCTCTCTCTGCCTAAACCACACTCAGGAAGTTCTACATTTCTCATTTGAGCCATTTCTACCGTCTCTGTTAAAAGGAAGAAAAAACAAAACGAAACGCTTCTGGGCTTCATCTGCAACCCAATTCTCTGTTTTTAACTTCCTTCAAATTATTTTTCACGATTCAGAAGTGTATTTGAATCCACTGGTACTCTACTGCTCCTTCACCAATCTTACCATTGTTATATTAGTTTAATTTTTATTGTGTTTTTGTTATTTTATTGCGGTTTTTTCCTGCCCCTGTAACGGTTATGAGCCACAGTAGATCAAAAACGTCACTTTCCAATTTGCTGTGCCATATCTAACAGTTTGAATATCATAAAAGCTTTAGAATTCTTGTGGGTCAGTTCCTTTCATTCTCTAAAACTGTAATTTTCTGAGCAGCTGTGGAAGATAAGGTTGTAGCCAAATCTCATTTGCTATCCTGTATTTTCCAAAAGAATGAACATCGACAGCTCTGTCTCAGAGCTTGAGAATTAACCCAAGGAGTGTGTTTATTGGAATTGAAAGTCTTGGGTTTGTTCTTCGAGTTCAAAGAAGCAGAGCAACCACAGTGATTGAGCTCGTTTCAACTTGAAGCTAATGAATCTTCAGGTAAATTTGGCATTTGGGTCGGTTTCAATTTATAATTTTGAGTGATGGGTTGCGTGTATTCGAGGGCTTGTATTGGAGAGATTTGCGCTCCAAGAGAAGCCAGAATCAAAGAGAGCCAAAATGTGAGGAACACTGAGATCCCAGTGTTCTCTCCCACCTCGTCCAATGGCGAAGTAGCTGAACTTCGAGACCAATTCAACCAATCAAGCTTAGCCGGGGATGCTGAGGTGGGCATCACAAGGCTCTCTAGGGTTTCATCCCAGTTTCTACCTCCAAATGGGTCAAGAACTGTCAACATTCCATCAGGGAACTTCGAATTACGGTACTCGTATTTATCTCAGCGAGGGTATTACCCTGATGCTCTTGATAAGGCAAACCAAGATAGCTTTTGCATCCACAGTCCATTTGGGACAAACCCAGATGACCATTTCTTTGGGGTCTTTGATGGTCATGGAGAATTCGGAGCTCAGTGTTCACAGTTTGTGAAAAGAAAGTTGTGTGAGAATTTGCTCAGGAATAGTAAGTTTCAAGTGGATGCTGTTGAGGCATGCCATGCTGCGTTTCTTGCAACCAATTCTCAGATGCACGCTGATATTTTGGATGATAGTATGAGTGGAACAACTGCAATTACAGTTTTGGTACGAGGTAGGACAATATGCATTGCGAATTCAGGTGATTCAAGAGCTGTTATAGCAGAGAGGAGAGGGAATGATATTGTGGCCGTGGACCTTTCAATTGATCAAACCCCATTTAGAGTGGATGAGCTCGAACGGGTTAAGCTTTGTGGTGCAAGAGTTCTTACATTGGATCAGATTGAAGGGCTGAAGAATCCAGATGTGCAGTGTTGGGGCACTGAAGAAAGTGATGATGGTGATCCACCCAGGCTGTGGGTGCCAAATGGAATGTATCCTGGGACAGCTTTTACAAGGAGTATTGGTGATTCGATTGCTGAGACAATTGGGGTTGTTGCCAACCCTGAAATCGTGGTTTTAGAGCTTACACAAAATCATCCTTTCTTTATTCTTGCTAGTGATGGAGTTTTTGAGTTCCTTTCTAGCCAAGCTGTGGTTGATATGGTAAGGTATCCTGCTCTCACTTTGTTGCAATTCAAGTGTAGAATTGTCAAGAGTTATTTATCTCTGCTTCATTGAATGTTTATAATTTTGTGTGATACCTTATTGTTGGGCACAGTGAGTTTAGTTTAGTTTTTTGTTATCCTGATTTTCCACCTTTTCTATTTTTCTAGTTATCCTGATTCTGTTACTATATTTACAGGTTGCAAAATTTAAGGATCCTCGTGATGCTTGTGCTGCAATTGTAGCAGAATCTTATAAACTCTGGCTGCAGTATGAAACTCGTACAGATGATATTACAGTGATAGTTGTGCACGTAAATGGGCTGACTGATGTAAGAGGATTTATGTATTTAATGTTGAAAGCGCATTGGCTTCGTGCAAATCTGATTTATTTCTCAAATGTAGTCGATTAATGACGACTTTTTCTTGTAGACTTCTGTTGGTCAATCAGTAATTCCTGCGGTTGCTTTACGACCACCTGTTCCTCAAGTTGTAGAGGTTACAGGATCAGAATCTCCTTCGACTATTGGCTGGAACTCTAGGAACCAGCGCACAAGACATGATTTATCAAGGGCACGTCTCCGTGTGATTGAGAGTTCTCTAGAAAATGGGCAAATTTGGGTTCCTCCACCTCCAGCCCACAGAAAGACTTGGGAGGAAGAAGTATACTTTATTTCGTAACTCTTTTGCTTTCTGTTTGTCATAATTTTGTATGAAACACAAGAAATGGTACAAATTTCTATAGTCATGAGTTCTTACGTTGAACCTTTGTTCATGCTAAACAGGCACAAATTGAGCGGGCTTTGCACGACCATTTTCTCTTCAGAAAACTTACTGATTCTCAGTGTCATGTGTTATTGGATTGCATGGAAAGGGTTGAGGTCCAACCCGGGGATGTTGTTGTTAGACAGGTTACTTTTCGTCTTATGTGTTATTGGATTGCATGCAAAAGATTGGATATATTTATTAGACTATAAATTCGTGTGTGATTCAATGCTTTGACAACATCAGGATGGTGAATTTATACAAAATGAAGAAAATTAACAAATACAACCTTGTTAAGTGATCTGGGGACCCCCTGCTCAAATAAATTTGATTTTTAAATTAATGGTCAATAGGGTTGCAATATTGGTTTAATTATCTGAGGTTTCATTCACAATGCTGATCCATTGCAAAAACAGTACTTGCAAAAAATGGAGAAGTTAAAATGTTGCAATCTGCATGAATTTATTACCTGTAACAATTGTTGTATTTTGTAGGGTGGTGAAGGTGACTGCTTTTATGTTGTCGGCAGTGGAGAATTTGAGGTGTTGGCAACCCAGGTCTTAAATATATCCTTGTTCTGCTTGAATTAATTTGGAGATTAATTCATGAGGACCCACAGTATTTGTGTTGACTGTTATACAATCATGGCAGGAAGAAAAGAATGGAGAGGTTCCGAGGGTTCTGCAGCACTATACAGCTGATAAACTGTCATCCTTTGGAGAGCTAGCACTAATGTGAGTTATTTATTTCCACCTTATTTTTTATCTGTTGGTGCAGATGATTCTACTATCATAGTTTCTGTGAGCTGACTATATAGCTTAACTCTTGGAATGCACAAATTGAACTGTTTATACCATGTACATCTATGGATTGGAAATTTTCTTTTGATTTGTCATTGCTTCGAAAATGGGAAGCATAGTCCTGAAACATGTTAGATCCATTTTGTTTTGGCTTTTCTTGATCTGTTTGTGTCCTCTTGTAGGGCATAATAGATTGGTGATTTCTAATTCCTGTTTAATTCATTTTGGGATATATGTTATACTACAGGTATAACAAACCACTCCAGGCCTCTGTTCGGGCTGTGACCAGTGGAACTCTTTGGGCTTTGAAACGAGAAGACTTCCGCGGAATTTTAATGTCAGAGTTTTCTAACTTGTCATATTTGAAGTTGCTTCGGTCAGTGGATCTTCTATCAAGGTTGACAATCTTACAGCTGAGCCATATTGCCGATTCTCTTTCTGAGGTTTCTTTCTCTGAAGGGCAGACAATAGTCAGTGGGGTACGTTTACTTTTGTTAAGAATATCATTTACTCTGTATTCCTTTATCTTATGTGTACTTCATATTTATCTGCAGAATGAAGGCCTAGTTGGGTTGTACATCATACAGAAGGGAAAAGTGAGGATTACTTTTGATGCAAATTCAGTTAGTAGTCCTGTTGTCTCTAGTCTCAATTCTGAGAATAAAAAAGAGGATGATAATCCTCAGAGCAGTAAAGAGCTCTCAGTGGAGAAGACGGAGGGAAGCTACTTTGGTGAATGGGTACTTCTTGGCGAACATATTGATTTGTTTAGTGCAGTTGCTATGGGTGATGTCGTTTGTGCTGTTTTAACAAAGGAAAAGTTTGATTCAGTTGTTGGCCCTTTGACAAAGCTTTCTCAGGATGATCAGAAGTATGTTGCATTCTACAGAATCTCTGTTCATAATTTTTAATCAATCTACCATTTTGAAATCCATGGTTAACCTTGGAGCTCTTAATGACATGTAACGATTTTTAAAATTCTTTTTTTTAATGACTGTTTCATATGTCTGATGCTGTTGGTTGTTGTCACTATTCAGGTCAAGTGATTATTCTTCTGAAGTTTCAAGGGAATCTGTCAAGAATATTGATATTTCTGCTCTTACTAAAGTTGAGCTGTCTGATTTGGTATGGAGTACAGTGCCCTGCTTGTGGTTATGTTCCCAAAGATAGATTCCTAATTGAGTTATCTTCTCATTTATTGATACTATATATTCTCCTGTCTAGGAGTGGAGAACAAGTTTATATTGCACTGACTGCAGCGAGATTGGACTTGTACTTTTAAGAGATTCAGGTTGGTTTGTTGTTGTTATGGTTTTTTTAATGTAATTTTTAATATTTGGCTTTATTTATAGTTTGGGCTTCCACTTGATGATTTCTGTTCATGTTAAAGTGGCCTTTCATCTCTTTTCTGTTTCTCGGGAGGAGGGGGAGATGAAATGGTTGAAGTATCAATTGCTAGAGCAAAAAAAGAAAAAAAAAGAAAAGAAGAAGTTGATCACATATTGCATGGAGTGGGGCGGATATTAGATCCAATATCAGAAAATTTTGAGGAGAATTTATATATACTGCATATTTTGAGAAGTTGATTACATATACTGAATGGAGTGGGGCGGATCTATATTACATAGCATGGAGTTGATTACACCTTATTAGATGCAATCTTTTGAGAAGAATTTATTTCTTTTTAGAACAGTATACGTAACCTGATCGAAATGCTTCTTTTTTATTCTGATTGCCTATCAGGAAATTTTCTTAGTTTGAAAAGGTTTTCAAAGCAAAAGGTCAGGAGGCTAGGAAAGGAAGCACAAGTGTTAAAAGAGAAGGATCTAATCAAGAGTATGAGCTCTTCAGCCTGTGTGCCGCAGTTTCTGTGCACTTGTGTTGATCAGACACATGCAGGCTTACTGCTAAATACTTGCCTTGCTTGTCCCTTGGCCTCAATACTTCGCACTCCCCTTGATGAACCATCTACCCAGTTTTGTGCAGCCTCTCTAGTTGCTGCTTTGGAAGATCTCCACAAGGTCCAATTTCTGGAAATAGCTTATTTTCTTTCCACTTGTTTTTTCACTCCTGTTGTTCTGACTGTCTCTGTAACATGTTTCTTTTTCTACATCTCTCATTTTTTTTTTTCGTTTTGAAATTTGACTTTCAGAATGACGTTCTCTACAGAGGCTTGTCTCCTGATGTTCTATTGTTGGACCAAACAGGACATTTACAGGTTGGTGTTCTGTTTTTCATTCTAAATAGTATTCATAGGATCTCAATGGATGTTGGAAATAGAGGAAGGGGGAAAACGTTGATTAAATTATCACTAATTACTATTTTTTGCTGTATTGTAGCTAGTAGACTTCAGGTTTGGGAAGAAGTTATCTGGCCAAAGAACATATACAATTTGTGGAATGGCAGACTTTTTGGCTCCAGAGATAGTCCAGGGAAAAGGCCATGGTTTCCCAGCTGACTGGTAATACAGTAACTTCGGTGGTTCAAGCCTTATATATCCTAAACCTAAATATTATGTAGATAACTGGATATTTAGTTTTTGAGGAAAATGTGAGAGATTATTGTATAAAAAGTAAATCTATTCAGTATCGGATAGCATGGAGGCATTGAGAGCTTGGGAAATTAGGGAAATGCTCGATAGAAATATTCATAGAATTACAAAAATTTATATTAGACTTAAATGTTATTGTAAGAATATATGCTGCTAGACTTTAGTGTAATTGTGAGATTTACGAGAATATATGCTCAACAGAAATTATTGAAGGCTTAGGATTCAGACTCCAAGTTGTATATTTGTGGTTTTTTTTCTTTCTTCTATTTTATGCTATTTTATTTTATTATTGTCTTCACAGTATTGTTTTGAGACCCTTTGCAGTCCTGAATTTGTTTGCAAATTTTCAGGTGGGCATTGGGAGTCTTGATATATTTCATGCTACAGGGTGAAATGCCATTCGGGTCATGGAGAGAAAGTGAGCTTGATACATTTGCAAAGATTGCAAAGGGACAGCTAAGTATCCCGCAAACTTTTAGTCCTGAAGTTGCTGATCTCATCACTAAGGTATTGCACGAATCGTTTAATCATTTCTCTGTCTCTCCCTTTCTGATAAGGATATTTCATATGCTTACTTTTAATTTTAATAATATGTTCAGTTACTTGACGTTCATGAAGACACAAGACTGGGAAGCCAAGGTTATGATTCTGTCAAAAGGCATCCCTGGTTTGACGGTATTGATTGGAAAGGGATCAGAGACTGTAGTTTTCCTGTTCCTCATGAGATCACCTCTCGTATAACTCAACATTTGGAAAGTCACTCAGAGGACTTTTCTTCTGTTCCTCTAGCTTCTCCATCTCGAAATGCAGAAGAACTTGACAATCCTGAATGGTTTGATGACTGGTAGTAGGATGAAAAATACAGGATTTTCCACCTTTGTAAACAATTTCGCAGGTGGACTTTCTTTACTGCTGTGAGATTTGACTCACAGCTTTGCTGAACAACAAGAACCCACCTAGGACGTACAAAATAATCGAGGAAAGAAATGCAGGAGTTACAAGCCTGAGACTGAGCCTGAAACTCACTTACGGTCCTGTTATATTTTACCCAATTATATATAGTAGCATTAGAAGAGTATATATCTTGTGGGATCACAGGCTGCTGCTAATTAGCCCTTTGACTAGTTCAGTGGAGAGGTCAGCTCATAGATTTTTCTCTTCCTTTTTCTTTTGATTTGGGTGAATCTCCCTCCTCTGTAAATACATATGTGTAGATGAATGAGGGCTCCTTCCTTGATGATATTATACCTTTCCACTCTACTTCTGTAATAGCAGGTACAGAAATTTGATTGACTTAGCCAAGTGGCTTCTCGAGTTTCTGTCATCCGTTATTCTTATCATTTACTATTCAAATTCTCCTTTACCATTTTCTTTTATGTTGTAAATACTTGAGCTCTGATTTATGGAAATCCTTACTGATTGGTCTCCAGCAAAATTTATATCTTCCTCTCACATCTTCTCTGATGCTTTGCTTGTTCAATTTGCTTTTGACATTGCTAGGGTCATATTCTTTGTCAATTATTGCATGGTTTCAGTGCAGGCCTATTCCTAATAATTAGTTAGTTTGGTCAACCAAATTATATTTGCCTACATTCATAGGAGGCCCAGCAACGTGGTCTTAAGCCCTCAGTGTGGAGCTAATGCTGCTTGCTTACCAAATCCAACTTTCAAACCCTTAGCTGCAATCTTTCTTTCCACTCTGTCCACGAACTTGCTTCAATGGTGCAAGTGCCACTTGGAGCTCCACATGGAACCAACATTTTGCGGTGAAGGAAATCTGCAATTTATAATTGAAAGGAGCTGCCAAATGTTGGTCTGCAACAATCATCAAGAAAATTTCCTCACTTTAAAATGGGTTAAATTTTAATATGTTTTTTTAATTAATTTTAAAATTTTGCTAGATTTGCTTAATTTATTATTATTATTTTTAATACAAACGATAGTTTAAACGAGAAAGAAGAGAAATTTCGCATACACACAACTATGATGCCGTTCTGCTAGACCCGTTGGCTTGTAATTTCCTTGATATGTTTTACAAATTATATAACGACATGGAGAAGAGAGAACCTACTCCACATAATAATTTAATCCAAATACTCTAACAACCATAATAAATCTTAAACTAATAAACGAATTAGACAAGAACAACACTAGATCGAGTCAACTACCATTATTTTTTAAAAACAAATTGCAGAAAAAAATATATAAAAAATATTAATTATGGGGTATCTAGCCAACTTGTAATTTGTAAGGACCAAAATAAAAAAAACTAATAATTAATTTACCTAAACATGCAGAGTTAATTCATGAATGGTTTCCTTGAAGACAAATAAAGCAGGCTCAGCTCTTACGTCAATACCACAGCGGTGATAAATTATAATAGTGCAACTCTTACGCTAGCGGCTTAGATAGGTTTGGAAAAAAATTTAATTTTTTATGTCAAGATTCCGGTGATTGACTTATAAAAAAAGAAAAAGATAACAGACTGATGAAAGTTTTATTTCGATGGTTTCAAAGAGCTTGATCCTCCTATTTTAAAATTATTATGCATGACATATTCCCACAGGTAATTAGATAACTATGTTTTAAAATATGGTAAATAATTTGGCTTTAAAATGTGGGAACTGTAAATTTATAAATCTGTCAAGCAAACAGCAATGTATCATTACACAAGAAGTTGGTATTTGAAATTTGATAAGAAAGATATTATCCTTAAGAATTCAAAATGCTCACTATGGAATTCATAAATGAAACAGTGTTCAATTCAAAGTGTGTGTCTGTTCCTGTTGAACTTATAAACAAAAACCACCTAAAACCTATGAAACTTTAAGCGTCCACTGATCCATGTTACACATCAAAAGGCTGTTGAGGCCTTTTCTCTCTGTTGGCAAACCACTGGACTGTTCTTCTGGCAATTGGCAACCAAAGCCTCCTCCTCCTTTCCTCTTTCACATTGTTTTCAAGCAAAGAAGGCTCCCTGGTCCTGTTCTTAAAACCCAAATTCCCAAATCTTGAAAGACCAGTGATTTCTGACATTGCTCTTTTCTCACCTGGATTCATAGAACTTGAGGCATCAGCTGAAGTTGCTATGCCATCTGATGTAGAAGGTAAAATTGGGTTTGAAGCTGTACTGTTTTTGTTCATTGTACTAATTTTGTTCTCAAACAATCTTTTCATCCCTATCTCCTCCCTAATCTTCATAATGTCCTCATTCCCTGTTGTTTCCACAGTTGAAAACTGCTCATTAATAAAATGTTCGGAAGAGAATCTATTGCTTGACATTGTATTAAGCATCTCTGAGTTCAGGAACATGAGGTCAGAGGAACTCACGTTGCTCCATCTGTTCTTAAACTCAAAGTCAGATACAACAATTTTGTGTTTGTGCTTGTGCAGGATTTTCTGACCCTCCTCTGTCTCATCAGCAGCTTCTTCTTGGATTAACATTTCCTCTTCCTTATCAACAACCTTTTCGGATTTTCGAAAGCTGCCTCCTATGCTGAATCTTGAAGAACCACGATGCTCTTCCTCTCTCCGAACAAAGAGCTCTATATTCGAGTCTTGTCGGTGCTCTGATTGGTTATTCCACAAGAACCTCATGCTATTTGAGTAGGTAATGAATGTTAGGTCCTCAGAACTAACCTTGTGTCTGCACAGAGGACAGCTTGAGTGCTTTTCCAGCCAGTGATCAATGCAGCTAATGTGAAAAGCATGTTTGCATTTGGGCAGCAATCTGAGAACTTCAATATCTTCGAATTTTGACAGGCAGACTGAACATTCAAGACCTTCCTTTGACCCTTTAAGAGAGGAGAATCTGAAAAAAGGAAGTGCCTCAATCACTGTCTTGTCAATACCGGAAAATCGAGAGCTTGTGCTGATAAGTCTTGTACCCGTGTGATTGTTTCCATAAACAGGAGCTTCTCTATGGCAGTGTTTAGCATAGACAAGGAGAGCAAAAGTTAGTGCGAACATGATAGAGAGAACACCAATAACCATATGAACACCTGGTTGATAACTAGATTGTTCCTCAGAAGTAGTATCTGTGCTGCTGCCTAAGGATTGTGCTTCAACATGGAAGACTACACAATTGAGAAGTAAAACAATCATTCTTGAATGAAACATTGGAAGATTGAAATCTTGGAACTGACCCAAAATTTTAATCATCCTAGGAAGCATTCTGTAAAGACAAAAAGAAATTATAATACATATATAGATATATGTTTGTGGGAGAACCTGAAGTTCAGGGGAAAAGGGTGAGGATGGGTTTGCTATGCATGGACTTTTTTATGACTTTTTTATGTCTCTTCCTCAATAAATAAAAATAAAAATAATAGTATTTTTGGGTTTCTTCTGGGGTTTTTTTTTTCGGATAGGAATTTCTTCTGGGGTTGTTCTTGTGTGTTCCATCCCAATTCGATAAATCATTTTTATACTGCGGCGTGGTAAGGTAATTTATACTTAAGAAGTGATGAAGAGGTGAGGGAGGATTTATTGCATGTAGACAATACATGACTTCTTATGGTAGGCGATAGGCGTTTCTTGCGTAATCATCCTACATTATAATAATATTAGCAGCTGCTGCCATATGACATCAATCATGTTAATATAAACCATATTAAACTAATGCTTTCATATATACCAAGTACACCATGTGAAACTTGGTTAAAGAAATTGAAAATTTTGGTTATGAGCTTTTCACAGGTAATTTCTCCCCCTTATGTCTCAGTTTGATAATTGGATTGCTTTGTCTTAGAATTTTAGTAATGACTTGCTGTGGCCTATGTTCCTTTCTTGGCAAAGAGGAATATGCTTACTAAGCAAAAGCAAGCAACAACATACAATTAGATTGATTCAAGAAGTTGGTTTTTGGAATTTGATAAGAAAATTCCATTGACATGTATAGCTATTGGCCAAAGAATCCATAAATTAAACAGTTTTCAAAGTGTGTGTGTGTCTGTTCCTCTTGAATTTTTAAGCAAACTGCCTAAAATCTATAAACTTGAATGCTTCCATGAGAAGAACATTCAACATTCTAGGGAAGCATTGATCCATATTATACATCCAAAGGCTGTGGAGTCCTTTTCTCTCTGTTGGCAAACCACTGGACTGTTCTTCGGGCAATCGGCAACCAAAGCCGCCTCATTCTTTCCTCCTTCACATTGTTTTCAAGCAGAGAAGGCTCCTTATTCCTGTTCTTAAAACCCAAATTCCCAAATCTTGAAAGAGCAGTAATTTCTGACATTGATCTTTTCTCACCTTGATTCATAGACCTTGAGGCATGAGCTGAAGTTGCTATGTAATCTGATGTGGAAGGAAAAGTTGGACTTGAAGCTGAAGCATTTTTGTTCATTGTACTAACTTTAGTCTCAAACAATCTTTTCATCTCCATCTCCTCCCTAATCTTCATAATCTCCTCATTTCCCGTTGCTGCTGCAGGCTCATGATTTAAATGTGCGGAAGAGAATCTATTGCTTGACATTGTGTTAAGCATCTCAGAATTTAGGAACATGAGGTCAGAGGAACTCACATTGCTCCATCTGTTCTTAAACTCAAGATCAGACACAACAATTTTGTGTTTGTGCTTGTGCAGGATTTTCTGATCCTCCTTTGACATATCAGCACCTTCTTCTAGGATTAGCAATTCCTCTTCTTTATCAACAGCCTTTTCAGTTTTCCGAAAGCTGCTTCCTATGCTGAACCTTGAAGAACCGCGGTGATCTTCCTCTCTCTGAACAAAGAGGTGTATGTTCGAGTCTTGTCGATGTTCTGATTGGCTATTCCACAAGACTCTCATGCTATCTGAGTAGGTAATGAACGTTAGGTCCTCAGAACTAACTCTGTGCCTGCACAGAGGACAGCTTGAGTGCTTTTCCAGCCAGTGATCAATGCAGCTAATGTGAAAAGCATGTTTGCATTTGGGCAGCAATCTGAGAACTTCAATATCTTCGAATTTTGACAGGCAGACTGAACATTCAAGACCTTCCTTTGACCCTCTAAGAGAGGAGAATCTGAAATAAGGAAGTGCCTCAATCACTTTCTTGTCAATACCGGAAAATCGAGAGCTTGTGCTGATAACTCCTGTTCTTTGGTGATTGTTGCCACCAACATAATCTCTTCTATGGCAGAACTTAGCATAGACAAGGAGAACAAAAGTTAACGTGAACATGATTGCGAGAATACCAATAACCACAGCAACACTTGGTTCAAAATTAGACTGTTCATCAGAAGGAAAATTTGACCCTGAGATTTGTGCTTCAACATGGAAGACCACACAGTTGAGAAGCAAAACAATCAAGCTTGAATGTAACATTGGAAAGTCGAAATTTTGAAACTGGCCCAGAATTCTAATCATCTTTGAAAAGCATTCTGTAAAGGAAAAAAGGAACTGTATGTACATATATATACATATATGCAGATACGAGTTTGTAAAGAAGTCAGAAAGTTTAGGGGAAAAGGGTGAGGATTGGTTTGCTATGCGTGGACATTTTAAAGTCTCTTCCTCAAAGGGTATTTGTCAATCTGGTTTGTGACTTGTCAGTTTTGTTGGATTCTTCTCGTATGTCAGATTTGATAAATCATTTTCATACTGCAATATATTAAGGATTAGACTTTGGAAGTGGACACAACGTGGGGAGAGGAGGAATTGGATGTGGACAAATATTGCTTCTTATGGTAGGCTGTAGGCTTTTCTTGCGTAATCATCCTACATTATAATATAAGCATCACCTGCCACATTGCATCAATCATGTTAAGGTAAAACCTTAAAGAACATTATGAGCTTTTCGCAGGTAATCTGCCCCCTCTGTGTTTCTGTTTGTGTTTGTACTTCGTCTTCTCAGAGCTTTAGTAATGTGACAACTTTTTTGTGATTTGAGTAAATTTGGAGAGCTTAGCTTATCAAATATCAAGCTTTTTAATGGCAAATGAGAGTTGCTTAATTGTGATTTGACTAAATTAAGAGATCTTATCAAAACCAGCAAGGCTCTTAATGGGAGAAATGAAAGTCAAAGCCGTATAAGCTGCGTGCATTAGGTGCTGCTTAGCATTGCTCGGAAAGTCAAGGATTGGGCTGGTGATCTCACTGCTTAGGACATCAATTAGGCATGAAAATTAACTCAGCTAAACCACTTGTGTTTTCTACATGCAACCTTGAACTGGTTTGAATTTGATGACCAGTTCATTGAGTTGAAACTCCAATTCCATTGAAAAAAGAAAAAGAAAAAGAAAAAGAAAAATCAGATTGGTTTTGCTCTCTGTTCAATAAAACTGAAACTAAATATTTTTTTTAAATAACATGTGGCATTCATAATTACAACTTGCTGCTCTCTTTATTTTTCAATGCTTTGCTGACCCTGTCAAAGACTCAAAGTAATTTTTTAATTTAAGCATGTCCATAAAAACAGCATTTGCTAATGTCGTAGACCTAGAAGCAAGGGGAACGGCCTGTCATCCATAGTAAATTTGTTGTAGGCAGGCACCTCATTTTATTATTTATTATTATTATTATTTTTTTTCCAAAGAATACAATTGTTCATATAATCATTTGGGAAACCAAGCTGTATGAAACAAAACACAAACACAACAAATACGCCAGTGTTCCAATGAAGGCACATGGAGGATGGTGGGGCAGTAAGCAAATCCAGTAGTTATTTGACACAAGCAACGAATATTTGTTTAGTTTAGGATTTTGCACAGTTCTCCCCCATGAAGAAGACACACTGCTACAAATTTTCCAATGCATAACGCTTAAAACTCAGAAATTCCATGAATTGTTGTAAAGATTGTCTTTAAGTTTAAAAGGAATTTATAAGTAAAGACACCTTGCTCAAGAACTACTAGGGTAGAACTGAAATATTTAGCCTTAAATATCACAATGGAATAATGATGGAATATTATTACACACACCTGCAAATACTAGATTCCAGCAGATGAGGGAACTGATAGGAGGCGGCTATTACTACACAAGTACGGAGATAAGTTAAAGATACCGAAACATCGCCAGGTTTTCCTGACCGCGTATTGATATTTATTATTTGGTTAAACATACTGCACACATGGTACAGAATCAGCTCTGTGCAGAGGCCGCAGGATTGCCATTTGGAAACGTCGCCATACCAGTGCCACTTTCGGGATTAGAAGGTTCTTCGCTTGCATGACGAACAAACTCTTCAGGGGACATGTGCAAACTATGGCAAGCACAAACTATCCTGATTTGGTTTGCCCCGTATCTGTAAGTAACACCAGAAATTGTCCTGCCATTTGGGCCTGGACCTTTGGTAGAAACCCATGGCAGATTTGGGCGGGAACCAGATCCCCCAAATTTTATGTCTGCAGCAATACCTGGTTTTATAGCTGAAAAATCAAGAGAGAAATCCTCTGCCGTTGAGCGGTCAGGTGCATCTTTTATCCTGAGGTTCGTGCTGCTTACTTTCATGTCTTCTTCCGCCTGAGAAGAGGAGCCCTCTTCAGTGACATTCTGTTTGCCATCGCCTCTGCCACGTTCTAACATCCTCCCATCATATTGTGCTACGTCAGATGAATTATGTGAAATTACTTGCATCCCAGCTGCATCAATACAAGAAGGGTGAGAAAGAAACAGAGGGGTCTTCTTCATCCACTGAAGCAATACTATGAGTTTCAGCACTAAAAAAGATCAGTAGAATCAGAAACTAGTACAAGAACCATAGAAAGGCAAAATTTTTTTTTTTAAAAAAAATATAATTTTTTTTATATAAATCAATTACCAAGGTAAGGCAAAGCTAGAGAAGAATAAAATTAGAGGCGATTCCCATGGTTTCTTAAGAAAAATACATGCATTGATGTAGATCTGTTTGCAGGAATCATAGACACGAGTCTCATCTCCAACCTTCCATTACCATGTCACTCGTTCACAAAGCCTTCAACACATTAAATAAAAACAAGTAATCCCAGTTCGAACCGTTTTCAGAGTTCAATTCATAGACCTCGCATTAGGCAGTGTACAAGGCAGTGACAGACAGTAAACTGGTCAAGATCAGCAATTCAACCATGAGCTGTTCATTTTCAGCATGCACAAAGGACACCTAGAATTTCCAATACATAAATATAGTTACCTGAGTTTGGTGGATTTCTGCCAGCATAGGAAGGATGGAATTGTTGAGTGTGAGGAACCAAACCCCAAGAATTATCCTTATCCAACATTGGGAGCTGGACTGGTGAATAGCCAAACAAAACTGGCAAGTTTCCAGGATTCA